TCTGTAAGTCACCTAACCTTTCCAGGCCTCGGGGTCTGCGTGCGCGACACGGTAGCAGTGGAGTGTACCTCGGAAACGACGGGAGGGCCAAACGGGCACTGTGTACGTGAAAGGCCATTATCATTCATCTTCGCATTTTCTAAATGAGTACACATCACTCTTGTAATTAAAAAACCAGTTACGGGCGAAAAAGGTCGCGCCCACTCTGTCTGGTTTTTACAAGGCTTCAGATGACATGTGACTCCCGGGCGTTTCGGGTCCTGCTGACGAAATGCCCTGGGACCCCGTAAGTGACTGACAACACGGAAGTCCTATTTCATTCCCACGATCCTCTGCGGGCCTCTCAAGGTTAAGAGCAAGCGGCGCCGTGGACACTGCCCGACAAGGGGATGCCTGAGTGAGGCTGTGATGAGCTGGCTGGCCAACTGCACCGCGTCTTAGGAGGCCAACCCTGGACCCCCGGTGAGCTGGAGCCCTGGGTGTGCAAGGCCATTTCTCCGCGTGCTCGGCTGAGCTGCCCGACTGCCCAGCTCACACTGAAGGCAGCCAGTGCTTTCCAGGGGTCACTGTGTTCCTGACCACGGGGTCAATAGTGACACTGTGGCCCGACTCTCTACAGAGGACCTGGTGATACTCAACAGCCAGAAGAGAAGGGTGCGGGGCGGGGAGTAAGGAAAGCTGCCCAGTCGATGCCGGTGTACCCCCGACAGAGACACCGTGACAGATTTGTATGTCGGTGTCCTTGGTGCACATCTGAAGAATGACAGCAAAACTCCAAGGTTACCTTAGACCCGACGCCAAGATGAGAAGCTTGAACTCACGCAGAGGAGCAGAGAACACAGGACAAGATGCTAAGGGCTGGCGAGGCTCACGCATTCAACCCAAGAAATGGTCACTGATTGCATATGTGCTCAGGGGGAAGAGGGCTCAGTGGAGTCCGCAGGACACACAGACCCACACCTGCCCCTTCGCTAACCTGGTCGGCGTCCCCAAATCTTCTGGGTGCCTCGGCCAGGAAAATGAGGAGCCTGACAGGGATAAGCGCAACACTGCTGGCCTCCTGGCCTCCAGAAGCCCTCCTCCCAGGACGAGGAGCGCCCCCTCACTGCTCTTCCTCCCAGGACGGCCCACCAGGAAAAGTTCCCGCACAGGGACCTCCCACTGTTCAGAATTAAAGAGTAAAATCCTAACCCCTCCCTGTAGCCACAGATCCGGCCCCTTCCAACTCCTTGCCCGCCTCGTCCCAGCCCCAGCCGGGCTCATGGCTCCTGCTGTCCCCTCTGCGCGTCCACTGGGTCCCCGTTCCAAGTCACCTCCCCAGAGGCAGCTGAAGTCACGCCCAGTCGCTGTCCGTCTCATGGCCCTGTTTCGGTCTCCCTGGGTCTCTTCCCACCGCTCCGTGTTATTCTGCCCGTGAGTCCACTTGTTTACTGTGTCTCACTCACTACAATGGGGGTGTCAACCTCATTGTCACCGGGGGCCGCACCAGCCTCGCGGTGGCCTTCAAAGGGCCGAATGTAATTTAGGACTGTGTACACGTAACTGCTGCTTCACAGCTCAGCGAGAGCTCAGCACGGCCGCCGGGTAGAAACAAGGTGCCAGGCCGGATAAAACAACGTGGAGGGCCGGGTTCGGCCCGAGGGCCTTGGGTTTGCCACCTGTGATCTACGATGTAAACCTCTTTAGACCGTGTATCTTATCCATCTCGTTCTTGGCTATATCCCCAGCACCTACAACAGCTCCTGGCACTCGGTAGGTGTTCGATAAGTCACTCGATTTAACAAATATTTACTGAGTGCCTACAAAGTTCAGGCACTGAACTGTAACAGTAGACAAAAAAAAAAAAAAAAGACAAAATCTCTGCCCTCAAAGAGCTTCGATTCTGTTGGGAGATAAGATAAATAAATAATGGTGTAATAGTAGCTGCTGCTTCAACCAAGGAGGTGCTCAGTGCTCGGTGGGGTTCTAAGCATCTGATAGGTATTTACTTAATGTAATCTTCCCAACAAATTCCTGAAGTGTTATTATTTTATAGACGGGGACACTGAGGCGCAGAGGGGTTATAAGTTACTCGCTGAAGGTCACACTGCTCATGACGGCAGAACCGAGACCCAAACCCAGCCGCTGTCGCTTGCAGGCGGGGCGGGAGAGAGGGCCACCGAGGAAGGGGTGCCCTGTTCTGGGAGCTCCGCGAGACAGACGCAGGCCGCGGGGTTCACCCGGGCCGCATGCCGGAGAGGAGGAATCTGAGAGCGAGCTCGGTCTGATGAAAAGACACGGGAAGACAAGGGTCAGCATTCCTGGCTGCCAGCTTTAGGTGCTGTGAGACACCCAGGCACGTCAACAGATACGTGACGAGTTTACTCTTTGTACAGGACACCAGTCCGTGTGCTTGTGAGGGACACAGACACGAACTCTCCCAACAGAGGTCCTGGCCTCAGACAGCTTAGGGCCGTGCACATACCCACGGGGCTGAGACAGAGGCAGAAAGTGGCGAGCGCCATAAGAAAATGCACAAACTGCTATGGGATTTCAAGAGTTATGCAGCCTCCAGGGGCCACAGGTGGCCAACCACTAAAGAGGGGCCGGCCTACATAACCCCCAGGTCTTCTAGTTCTGATGTGTCCTGAAGGCATGGATTTAGAGGAGCATGGAGGTCAAGTTTTATTCTGGCTAATGGTTCAAGTTCATGGTCACTGAACTTGTTCATGTTCTCCTACCTGAGAATAGTTCCAGTATCTTTGGGAAACATCTCACAGCAGCAGAAGGGCGATCATGCTCTCATTCAAATACTGCAGCTAGGTGTGGGAGCAAAGCCTAGCGTGCTCTGCCCTCCTCTGCTTCTAACTGGTTTTTACACCCGCAAACCCTCTTCCAAGGAGGAAGTGACCCTTCTGTGAACACGCTGTTATAACTGGGGGACTGCTCCCTATTCCCCTTGTGCACGTCCGTACCCCTAGAGTCTAGCACAGTACCTGGCTCACGACAGGTGCTGAGTTAAGGTTTGCTGAGCTCAACTTGGGCACGGTCAGGTCTAGAAATTCTCTGCTAGACACAGAAACCTCAGTCGGTGTTCCCTGAAGTTTTGCTGTGCAGCTCCCAGCCTCTCCCAGGGGGGCAGACTGGTTCCACCCACGTCTTCAGTTCTACTGTTTCCACGCGGGCCCTCCCAGCCTCCATCACCTCCTGCCAGGCAGCTGCAATCGTCTGTCCCCCAACTGGCACCCCTGCTTCTGTGTTTGCTCTGCACAACCCCGTCACGATGTGGCAGCCAGAACGATCTTGGAGAACTTAAACTTAGATCTTATCACCTCTCTGCTGAAAATCCTCCAACGGTTTCTAACTGCATTTGGAATATAGTCCAGACGGGTTATCCCACCTTCACAGCACTTACCGCTACTGAAATTACATTGTCTGCTTATTTGCTTATGCCCTCCTCTTTAGAACGGCCATTACAGGAGCGCGGGGGCTGTGTCTACCTTCACCACTGTGGTCCTGGTGCTCGGCAGGGTGCCTGCTGCCTAGTAAGCGTTCACTATTGAATGAATGAATCTCCATCCCATAGAGGCAGCTTGTATTTACAAGGACCACAAACTCCACCAGGAAACCATGAATGACACCCTAACATTTAACAGCTGGCACCTTTACTTATCATCCAAAGTCCTGCTTTAAATCAGAGGAACCTTGGGCCCTGGCCAGGTAGCTCAGTTGGTTAGAGTGTCATCTACACGTGCCAAGGTTATGGGTTTGATCCCTGGTCAGGACACATACATAAAACAACCAATGAATGCATAAATAAGTAGAACAGCAAACTGATGTTTCTGTCCCTCTCTTCCTCTAAAATCAATTAAAAAAAAAACAGAGGAAACTTGTTATCTCTGGATACTTTAATGGTCCAAAAGATCAGTGTCATTTACAATCAAAAGGCAGGAACTACAGCCCAGCAGTTGTAGCAGGAAGCTAAGAGTCAAGGCACTTGGGAACAGAACCTCAGAACAAACTCCAACTTGCATCCAGGTCCCTTACCAACACAACCCGTGCCTCAGTTTATCCGACAGTCAGCCAGGCACACTTCCCTAAGTTCTGAGTGGCAGGAGACAACATAACTAACAGCTACAGCATACTTAGATCCTCAGATAGAAGGTGCCACAAGACACACATCTCATTATTTATCGACTGTTTCGCTGCACGCACAGGCCTCCTCGGCCTTCCCAGGGGCTAACCTGACAGCAGGCACTGCTCGGACAAGTTTGGCACGCAAGACAGAGGGAGGTACGTGGGGCCTAACAGGTTGGGTGTCCAGAGCTATGTGTCTTGATTACCAGGTTCAAGAACAAGGAAGGTGGTTGGGGTGGGGGGTGATGAAAAGGAGGGGAGAAGTGTCGTTTGGGCGCCAAGTGGTTAATTTTGCAGGCTCACGTAACAGCTGGCCATGCAGATGAGACATGTGCCTACAATGTGTACCTTCCAGTAGCACTCGCGCAGAGAGGTGGAGTCGGGAGAAGGCAGTTCAATCAAACTAGAGAGAGGAAGGGCAGCCCAGCGGCCAGATCTTGGCAGCATTTAGTTTGGGGAAATATGGAGGAGCTCTCTATCCACAGGGTCAGGATGCTGGGAGTGGGGCTCAGGTGAGGCAAGAGACAAGAGGACGCAGGACCCTGAATGCTGACAGATGATGACAACCATGCAGACGCGGTGCGGCGAGCTACAGCGTGGGTGGCTCGGACACCTGTGGAGGCGATTCCCCGGAGAAGGTGAGGACCCTGTAGGGTGGTCTTCGGCGGGGGCAGGAGAGAGACTGAAGGCAGAGGCAGCCCGGCGGGGCGAGGAGGCCTGGCCAAGACCAGGGAGCCGCGCCGGGGGCCCAGCCGGTGGGTCCGCGCTGGGTCGGGGGTGCCCTCCGCTGCCCCTCCCCGGGAGACAAAGGGCCGGCAGCTCCCCCGAGCTCAGGCGCGGCGCGGGCCCAGGAGCTACGGGCTAGGGCTGGCCTCGGCGCTTACCTGGGCCGCCCGACCCGGCCGGGCCGGCGGGGGCTGCGGGGCCGTGCACGGCGCGCGGCGGCCTGTTCCGGGGCGCGATCACCCCAAACAGCCGCGGTGGCGGCAGCAGCAGCAGGAGCAGCAGCAGCAGGAGCAGGAGCAGCAGCAGCGGGAGCGGCCACCTCAGCCTCCGCCTCCTGCTCCGTGAGTCACCGCGGCGGGGAGGGAGGGAGGCGCCAGACCGCCGTGGGTGGGACCGGCGAAGGGGGCGGCATCTGGCTCCGAGCGGGCGGCGGAGGCACGACCACGGCAACGCCCCGCAGAATGGAGGGGGCCGCGGAGGGCTGGGTCCCAGGGGCGGGACCTGTTAGGGGCGGGGCCCTGGTGCGCGCGGGGATCATCATTGGTCAAATTGGCCTGTGAGGCGGGGCTTCCTGCTGAGGGGCGGGAGCTGCGGGTCTCCCAGGGACGTTTATTGGGCACCTCGAGAAATGGGGCGGGGAGACCATGGGCTCCGGGGCGGGGCCACGAGAAGGCAGAAGGAGCAGGGTCGCGGGTTGTGGCTGAGCAGCTCCGAGAGCAAAGGGTTAGGGGCGAGACCCTTGGTGGGCTGGAGAGAAGGGGCGGGCATTCGGAGGGGGAGGTGGCCTGAGGGCGGAGCCCGGGTTAAGGATGGAGCTGTCGCTAAGTAAGGTACAGCAACTTTGCCTGTCGTTAGCTGCTCCCGGAGCACAGTGATCCCGTAAACATAATGGCCTCTCCTATACACGGGTCTGTGTTTTAAAAACGGGAACTGCCAGTCCGGGCGGAATCCTTGGTGAGACTGGTAACACCCAGGGCCCCTGAAAAATCTGAAAGGACGAGGTTGCAAGACACTTAGAGGCGTGGTCTTGCTGAATCTTGGAGCTGGGAACTACCTTTGAAGCAGTTAGGCCCGCTCTTGAATCCGCGGAGCCCAGAGAGCCCAGGAATGGGCCTCCGTGGGTCCGCTAAACTTAGAATAAACTTAGAATATCGTGTGCATTTACCAATACCAGTGGGTGCATTTTTGTCGAGGAAAGGGCTCTTTGATCAGAATGTTTCTATAGAAAGTCTGAGTCTGCTATCTGGCACTCTCTGGAGACAGTACAGGGAGAAACAACTCTACAGGCAAAATGTGAATTGCTTTGAACACCCACATTCCTTTTTTTAAAAAAAAAGATTTTATTCATTTTTTTAGAGAGAGAGGGGAAGGGAGGGAGAGAAAGACAGGGAGGGAAACATCGGTGTGCAAGAGAGACATAGATCGGTTGCCTCTCGCACTCCCCCAGCTGGGGACCTGGCCTGCAAACCAGGCATGTGCCCTGACTGGGAATCAAACCGGCAACCTTCATGGTTTGCAGGCCAGCGCTCAATTCATTGAGCCACACCAGCCAGGGGTGAACACCCACCTTCCCTTTTAAAGGGACACATATACTTAAGTGTGCTCTCATTTTCAACATTCTAACTTAACAGTTACACAGTGTGACACTAACTGCCATTTAAAAGGACCCCTGCCCCGCTTTCCCAACCTTTGTTTCCACCCCTTTTCCGTCCCATCCTCTTCCACTCTCCAGACATTTCTTCTCCTGCTCTATGCAAGAAGGATACGAGATACTTTTTTTTTTTACTTTACTGTGTTCATATTCTGAAATGACCATATCACTCTTTTGATTTAAACCTGCATTATAGTTACAATGGAGGAATACTTTAATGTTATCAGAAGTCATGAAATTGTGAATTCTGAAGGACCAGAAGTAGGTCTCAATTATGTCTGTGCTCCCTCAGGTCCAGACTACCCTGCCCACAGCAAGGGCTCAACCAGAATTGGCCAACACAACACACCAGTTGTTCCTTCAAGTTTTCCAGAGCACACCAATGCAGAAAAAAAAACAAAACCCATTCATTCAAATAATTTTTACATAAATATTGATAGTTAAACAAATGAACTAAAATTGAACAAGTCGCTTGCTATTCAAGACATAATATATAAATTATCTTTTTCAAAAAGATACATGCTTAAGGGAGGAAGACGGGACAGGAATGCACACAATAAAAATGTGTCGGTGTGAAATGGATTCTCTTCCCTTTTTCCAAATTTTCATAAATAGGCCCTGGCTGGCATAGCTCAGTGGATTGAGCTCGGGCTGCGAATCAAAGTGTCGCAGGTTCGATTCCCAGTCAGGGCACATGCCTGGGTTGCAGGCCACAGCCCCCAGCAACCGCACATTGATGTTTCTCTCTCTCTCTCTTTCTCCCTCCCTTCCCTCTCTAAAAATAAATAAATAAAAAATCTTTATAAAAAAAGAAAAATAATTTTCATGAATATATTTTTATAGGTTAAAATTATGATAAATTCTCAACACAGCCAGCACCTCAACTACCCCATGAGCTCAGAGCTGGGAAATTTTGCTTTCTAGATAGCAGTATTACTCCAGGATTAACTCGGGCTCCGTCCATCTGTAGGGTCTTAAAATGAAACACTGAAGGCTTAGGAGACAGGAAACATCTGTTAGTTCTGACAACCCAGCACCCTCTTTCCTCCATGGGGAACTGCTCCTCCGGGCCCCCCTCTACCTCCTGGAGGTGCTAATGAGGTACCACCCAGCTGCAGTACCTACTCTCTCCCCTCCACCAAAACAAAAAACAAACGAACGAACAAACTAAAAACAGGGAAGACACTGAACTCAATCTGGACCAATCCAAGTGCTGCATTCTCTTGACTGTGGTTCAGTAGGATGGGACCTGAGCTAAGCCCATTGGAGTTCTTCTCTGAAAGTTTCTACATTCGAAATGAAGGAAGTTCTGGGTTTCCTATTGGATCAGGAAATATAAGGATGAGACTGTAAACATCTTAGCACCATCTTCCACCCACCGCATGGAAAATTCTGAAAGAAGGAGGCAGTGTTACTGGACAGAAACAAACATTTGGAGGGAGGGAGGGGGAAGGGGAGAGAAAAAGAGGGAGACCCCTAACAGCGTGTTCCCCGGCTTCAGCAGACCCTGTGCCGGCTTCGCTCACGCCATCTTACCTCTCACGCTCAATAGGCCCCCAAATCTCCCTTTCCTCGGGTGCTCCCTCTTCAGGAGCTGGCACTGCTCCGCCTAGTTGCTTGCATCGGAAACTTACGGGTATCCTTGACACCACTCTCCTTTCCCCCTCATCCAGTCCACGCTATTTCCATCCCCAAACCATATCTGAAGCCTCCCCACTTCCCACCATCTCCGCGTCTCTGTCGCAGTTGAACCAATCACCAGCTCTCATCAGACTCCAGCAGCAACTTCCAAGGACTCCCTCATTCAGGTGTTTCCGACCACCCCCATCCACTACCCACACGACTACAAGAGAATCTTCTAAAAGCATACCAGTGTGGTCAGACCTCTGCTGTTCAATGAGTTCTCTTTCTTTTCGTGATGAAGTTCAAAATCTTTCGCATGGCTACAAGACCCTGCATCATCTGGCTCCAGCCTGACCTTGAACCACCCTTGCCGACTGGGCTCCTGTGTGTAGACACAGGCCTTCTCCCTATGGATCACAAGGTGCTTCTTTGTGCTGGGGACTGTGAGTGCGCGGTTCCCACCACCTCTAGGGCTCCATTTCTCCCCCTTCTCCCCCGCTGCACCTGCCTGAATAGTTGGTCTTCAAGAGACTTTTCTTAACTGATGCTAGATCCAGTTCCCGCGTGGCCATGAACTCCAGGAGGGCAAGGAGGTCTCTGTGAACTACACCTACCTAGCACAGCACAGAGTGCAGAATGAAACAACGGTGGAACCACAGCAGGCTGCACGTAGAGAAGGAGGGCTATTTTGGAGCAGTCATGGCAACCGTGGTCCTCAAATTTTACCCCGTAAGAAGGCCTTCCTGCCTACCAGGTGACTAGGTGCTAAGTGAGAATGGGAGAGAAAGGCAGAGACGTTGTACTGAACAAAAAGAGATTTCTTGGTAAAGGAAAAGGAGAACCGATTCTTTTTGTTTTGAGAACCAAAATTACAACGTTAATTAATAATTTCCAGTAAGAGAGAAAGTGAAAAGAATTTTTTTTTTTCTTTGGTCCCTATACTCGTCATCCTGTTTACATTTGGTTTGGCTCTGACTTCTCCGAGGACAGTGATAAGGGGGCTAAGGGCACAGGAAACAGCACGCCAGTCACGCGCTGTTCTCCTGTGTTTCGCCTTGGAAATGACCTGTCATCTGATTTTACTTTGGAGATAGCAAGGAATCACTAAACCCAGTGATAAAAGCACTCTGTAGATCAGTGGATGTACACATTTTTGTGTCATGGGTGGGGACGCGCAGCTGTGAATGCCTGGCTCTCCGCCAACCCGTCCCCGGAGTGTCGGCTCCTGCGGCCTCTGGTGCGTAGACCCTCCCTGTATCCGCGAATTCTGCTTCCACTGAGCTCGGGAACAGTATAAACAAGTAATTATTCACTTCTTTGGCCAAGTGTTTTGACGGACTGACGCGTCTCATAAGCGTATTTGTCTGTGCAACGCTAACATTCCAGTCACTTCGTAGTGACAAACCAGCTGAAGACCTCAGCTGGGATCCAAACACTGTCTGTTAGCCTCTGAGCATAGTTGTCTGGTTATCGCCTTTTTTTTTCCCGCTGCTGGTTACCATCCAATTAAGTATAAAAAATAATTACTATCCTAAAAGCAAACAGCCTCTACTCTCTGGGAGTAAATGATAAACAGTCGTCCTCCCCGCGCCCACCCCCGCACTCACAATGCATTTTGTATCTCTAGATGTTGCGGTGTTATCAGCACAGCTGAAAAGACCGTGGTAATCGACAGTGCCTTCCACCCCTGCGGAGGTACAGACTGCCTAAGAGTTTATTGCAAACAAGTAGTGGGGCCTGTTACTATGAAATACTTACAGCTTCGTCTCTCCCATTCACTGTTTTTTTTTTTTAAGATTTTATTTATTTATTCCCAGAGAGGGAAGGGAGGGAGAAAGAGAGAGAGAGAGAGAGAGAAACATCAATGTGCGGTTGCTGGGGGCTGTGGCCTGCAACCTAGGCATGTGCCCTGACTGGGAATCGAACCTTCAATGCTTTGGTTCGCATCCCACGCTCAATCCACTGAGCTACACCAGCCAGGGCCCATTCACTGTTTTAAGAGTAAAAACATTTCAGACCTGCCTGAGGATATAAACCTTCCTGTTTGCCATTCAGAGGTTTAGCGAAGGGCT